GATAACTCTATTAATTTTTTAGATTTAACTACTACGAAAACGCAAAACAAATTAGGACACAGTCATACATAACAGCTTAAATCACCCATATACACACAAAATAGCTGCATTTCACTCTTTTATACATAGACTTCTTAATACGCCACTCTCAACAAAAAATTACAGCAAAGAACTTAATATCACTGAACAACTGCTACAATCTGTCCATTATAGATAAAATTATAAATAAAAAACAAATCCAGACAACAGTAAACTCTATTTATCCGAAACCTAATGCAGAACACGAACAATTTAAAATAATTACATACATAGGAGAACCTAGTAAAAAAGTTTCAAAACATTGGTAAAAATGTGGTTTAAAAATAGCTTTCAGAACACTAACAACACAATAGGAAATTTTTTAAAAAACAGTAAAACGAAACGTTCAAAATCTCAAAAATCAGCTGTCTACAGGTTGAAATGCGGATCTTGTACTAAAATTTCTATTGGATTAACAGGAATGTCCTTCAAGAAACGCCTTAACGAACATAAAAGAGCGTTTAAAAACAATAGTCTAAATTCTAATTATGCTACACACTTAAACACAGAAAAACACGTTTTTGACGACAATTTTGATATTTTACATAGAGCCACAAAAAGTAGAAAATTAATTTATTGGAAGCCACGGAGATTAACAAAATGAGACATTCAAATGTATTAACGATCAATTAGATTTAAACACCTCTCCTTTATTGAACTTAAACCCTCACAATAACATTAATTAAGGCTATATGGTCATTTTTCGGTATATATAGTAGCAGGCAGTTTGTATATATGTATGTACACTTTCATGTCAAAATATACAATTTCGTGAAAATCTGAACTTTTAGTTCTTATTTATTTTGAATATGACATTTGCTTGCAGAGGGCGTCACGTGCATTGTAGGAATAATTTTTATTTTAAGGGAAATCAGTGGCGTACCATCAATGCCTGCCAAAATAGACAGGTGAAATCACGTACGCCCGCCGCTGGTATATTTTTTAAAAATTGGGGTATAGTAAATAGTGCCTCTCGATGTATAGTACGTGTGTGCCAAATTTCATCGAAATATACGTTTAGGCCGTACGTTCATGTGAAGTTTTCTTTTTAAAATGATCCCAAAAATCGCCCCGCATCGGTCGCATCTTGCCGTTTACAGGAAAAGAACGCAAACGCGAACTATTTCAAATTAATCTGAAACGAAATTGGATTCGCACAGTTATTTTTTTTAACGCCAATTAAACATGATTAAAATTCGGCGCGCACTTTCACTTTTTCGTACCGTTTTTTTTTTTTTCGGTACCGACAACGGACCGAGTGTATCGAGTACCCGCGGGCAGCGGCGTCGCTAGCGAACTTTCACACCGATGATGACTCACCCCGTCACGGGCGTCCCAAAAAAAACTGCAGACTCAAAATAGGGAAAATATTTATTTGCCCATCATTTGGAAAATATTATTTTCTCTCTCTCTCTCTCTCTCTCTCTCTCTCTCTCTCTCTCTCTATCTCTCTCTGTAGCTCTACAACCCAGGGTGGGTCTTGGCTGACTTCACAATCTGCCTCCATCTGTCCCGATCCATCATTATTTCTTCGACCTGTTCAATGTTTAGCGCATTTACGTCTGCTGTTATGTTGTCTCTCTAACGCAATCTAGGTCTTCCGAACGGTCTTCTACCATCCGGTACTTCTTCCCACACTAATTTAATTAGTCGTTGGTCGGTTTGGCTTCTGACATGGCCTGCCCATCTCAGTGTTTCCGTCTTTACTATTTTGACGATGTCTCGGTGATTGTATAATTCTTCCAATTCCCTGTTCGTTCTAATGCGATACTGTTGAGTGACATCATCTTTGGTTGGTCCGTATATGCCCCTTAAAATTCTTCTCCCTGCAATTTTTAGTCGGTTCTGATTTTGTTTTGTCAATGTCCATGTCTCTCACGCGTATTTCATAATCGGTCTTATAATTTAGTGGTATAGGTATTTCTTGGTGCTTCGAGATACAATTTTCGATTTCATTACACTTCGCGATGCAAAACAACAACGATTGGCACACTGCATTCTATTATTAATTTCCTTCGTAATGTTGTTGTCTGAAGTGATGGTATCTTCCCAAATATTTTAATTCGTGGACCCTCTCAAAGTTGTATTGGTCCATAGAGACATTTTGGCCTATTCTGTCTCTGCGCTCTGTTCTTGTGATTACCATGTACTTTGTTTTGTCTTCGTTAAATCTTAGCCCTAGTCGCTTGGCAGCATTTTATTATTATTATTATTATTTTACCACTTAATATTAAAATGTTATTATTAATTAAAATGTTTGTGGCTTACTAGTGTCAGACGAAAAAAAATTACATTACATCATTAAGATAAGTCGTAGAATCGCAAGATTTGATGTTTAATTTATGATAATAAATAATATCAGTTAAATTGTTATAGAAAGCTGGGGTTCCTATTATTAGATCCCAGTGAATGAAAGACAAAAGAAAACAAGTCGGTCGTAAAATAGTATAAATCATATATTAGTTAATTTCAATGACGACTCCGACAGTGAAACAGAATTAGATTTAAATTTTTATATATAGGTATTCTTAGCCATGAATTTACTGTATATATTTAATGACATTGCTTCTTTTTTCAAAGAAACTTCCACAGGATACTGTAATACTTTTTACAAAACTTCTAGATTCCTCCTGCGTAGGTTTTTGCAGCAGGAATCCGGAGGCTTTGTAAAAAGCAAGATTATACCCACCTAAATAAACAAGAAAAAATTAAATTATTGCTTAATGCCTACCAGACCCGAGTTTTATTGCCGTATGTAGGTATAATACGGCCAAAAATATAGTGCATTTATTGCTTTGGCGTTTTAAGTATTTTACAGTACCTTAACCGCAGACCATCGCAGGACCGTGGTAAAACCCATCGCAATAGATGTTTATTTTGCATTATTTGTAGAAACTTGAAAGTTTTCCGTTTTAAATTTCATGCTGCGGTGTATTTCCGAATAAGTAAAAGCGTTTATTTTAACATTTCTCCATTCTTAAGAGTTTAATCTAAATTTCGACATATTCGTATATATTCCTTCCAGTAAGTACGTATTTATGTACCTGATTCTCGAGCTCTGGTCCTGCGAGGCTGTTTTCACTGGATAGTTCAAAGGGTACTCTATTTGTTTTACAGCTAAATTTGAATATAATCATTTTTATCTTGTGGGTCTTTCGGGGGGGTCTACATAGTTCTTCGATTTGTTGACAACAGATAAATATTTATTAGAATCTTAAAATTTAATATTTTTTAAGGTTCTGTGGAAACAGTCTGATAAAGCAGATGTTCTCCTATTAGAAGAAGACATAGAAACCAACGCAGAATTTGAAGACGAAGTGGACATGGTACTCGAAATTAATGACAATTTAGAAGACTATCACTATCTTAGCAAATAAAAAAACCGATATATTTGTCTTCAGATGCTAAATAAATTGTTTTGAATGATTCCAATTTTATAAACGATTCAGAAGGGGAAGTAGGAGCAGCAATAAAAACAAGTGACATGACCAAAGTTTCGAAGTCAACTGTACGAAAAATACTTGCAAATGGGATAGTCAAAAGGGAAGTGAGAGAAGATACTGGTGCTTCGCCAGTTTTAAATGAGTAACACGCAGATTTAATTAGTTAAATAATCTACAACGCTTATCAAGTGAATAGTGTTTTAACCCTAAAAGAATTTCCAAAAAAATACTTGACGATTTTTTAAGTGAACGATACTTTATTATTATTATATTTAATATTTTGTAAGTTAGTAATGATACTATATAGAAATGTAATGGAATAGAACGTCATAAATTGTTACTTTGTACCATTTTTTTATGTACATGTTTCAAGAGTTTCTCGGCGAAAAAGATTGAAAACATACTTACATCCCGCTTATTAGTATAGGTAGATAAATTCCGAGGACGGTCCTGGAATGGTTACGGGTAAGGATCTGCGGTTTTGGAGTAATAAACAGTAGGCAAAGTTAATCACGGGGTCGGTTGTAAAAGCACTATATTTCTGGTGGAAGTATACCATATTACTGATTTTAGTTTAAGCCCGTTAATAGAAAGGTAAAAGATATATTATGTAATGACACGTGAAGGAACTGGTTGGGAACTAAGTTGAAATACTTTACGGCGTTGTATGAAAAGGAGGGCTGAAAAATTGCGGTGTTATGACGTAGCACCGTTAGTTTGGCATTATTCCTAATATTAATATTGTGGACAGTGTTACGAAATATTAAGCGATTTTTTTATGGAAACTGGCGAATTAGGATTATTTATTACCTTAAACAAAAAAGTTATTTTAATCATTGTATAAGTGGTAGATGATCAAATTTTCTCACACCACAGACAAATCTAATATAGGCGTTGGGTACCACCTGAACACGCTTTCCTGATGCATCCGAAAAACATAGACAGAGTTACAATAATTGAAGTTAGAGCGGACCATGGATTCACACAGACTTCCTTTAAGTTGTTTACTTAAAATATGTATATTGTTATATAAAACTTTGAAGGAGGGACAGGATTTTTCAATTTTTTGAGACGGACTATATCCTGAATATTTTATATTACGGTAATATAAATGTCTAAAAATACATACCTTCATGGTTAAAAAATATAAATTCGAGAAGTGATTTAAAAAATTTATCGACACCTGTTGGGTACTATACTTTTTCTACGACCGTTAATTTTTGGGTATATTTTCGCAAATCAAAAGGAATACATTCACTGACATGACCGTCAAAATTCAAAGCGTTGGAAATTTCTCCGAAAACATCCGATTGCTCCCGGAAATGTCCGAAGTGACTCGGATCCGTGGGTAACGCAACTGACGTGGTAAAGTGACGCTTCTCGCACGCTAGATCGGTGGGTAATTAGGTAATTTACGGACGGGAGTAGAAAATAGAATTTTTCATGGATACATAGTGGCCCAAAAAAAAACGAGAAAAGTAAAATCGAAAAATATTTATTAAATAAAAACAAGAACGTTTTTTTTTTCATCTAAGCGGCGGACAATGTACATCGTTAGAAAAAAATCTATTTCTTTGGAAATATATTAAAATTTATACAAATACATATTATACATACATTTACATGGAGAAACTTACGTTACGTATAAAAACTATATAAGATACAACAACGATATATTTTTTTAAAAAATATATCCTAAAAAATACAAAGGTACGTTTTCATTGCAATCGGTCGAAAAATATATATATATAATGTATATAAAATATTCGCACTTTTATTTTCGTCGCGGAATCTACAACGTAATTTGTAATACCCGTCAATTCTTTCCTCCTCGTCACGTCAATAAATATATATTAAATAAATTCATGGTACGGCTGTAACGGAGATCTCCACGTCATTCGTTTCACGAAAATTTAAAGCTCTAAACGTACATTTCCCTAGGGTTCCGCCAACGGCTATGGCCCGTAGTCGTGCACCATATCCATCATTCTTTGCCTACCGTCGTCGGACCTACGCAAAACGAAACACACGGTATAATCGAACCACCCCCCTCAACGAACGCCGCAATGCTTACATGTGCTGCTGCTGCTGCTGCTGCTGCTGTTGCTGCTGCTGGAGCTGGAACGTGTCCAGGTGCTTGTTGATCTCCCTGTGGACGTGTTCCGGGAGCACCCCGACGTTCGAAAACAAACTCCTCAACACGTTGAGCTCCTCGGTAAGCAGCTCTATCCTTTTCTGCAGCCTTTCGTTCTCCTTCATCAGTATCTTCACCTTTTCTTCCGTCTCTCTCGTGCGCACCTTCGCTTTCTCCCTGCTCTTCCTCACCGCGATATTGTTCCTCTCTCTCCGTCTCCTGTACTCGTCGCTGTTCTTATCACAGGGCTTCATGCTTTTGCGGGTCACGTGCTGGTTGAGCAGCGACGTTTTGCTCTTCATCGCGTTCATCTGGTGGTGCAGCACGGGGCTCGGAGTGAGTGTGGTGAAGGTCGCGCCCGGGTTCGACGGGTACCCGCCCCCCATGTACCCGTTGGGCAGGAGGTTGCAGGACGTTTGCCGCCGAAACTCCTGCGGGTCTATCGGCTCCTCTTTAATACTAGGAACGTCGCTACCGGCGGAACTGTTCGAGTCACTGTTCGAGTTTTGGTTCCCGTAGGTGACGCCGCTGTGCACCGGTTGCGGCATGTACGCGAGCGTAGTGCGCGGATAATTGTTGTTCTGCACCCCCATCGCTTGGCGCGTGTGCAGCCCCTGCAGGTGCTTGCCCTGTTGGCTCTGCAGGATGTCGGTGAAGAGGCCGTCGCCGAACTGAGAATCGTCGATCAGATTCTGCAGATCGAGCGATATCTCGGGGGTGTTCAGGTCACTCAGCTCGCCGTGCTGCTGGTACTGCTGCAGCTGGTGCTGCTTGAGCAGCGCGGCGGTCTGCTTCGAGTTGCCCGTGTTGTTGTTGAGGGTGGTGAGGTTGTTGTTGTTGTTGTTGTTGTTCATGATGACGGTCTTTTTCGCGTCCGCCCCGATCACGTTTTGCTGCCCGTGCTGCTGATTGTCGTACATTTGGGGCGAATCCATGTTCGACTTTCACTCGGGGTCCACTTTCACTACGCCGAAAATATTTTCGGCTGCCGCCGCGGCACTTTCCAACCGGAACGCGTTCAACTAGCGATACGTTCGACGTCCGCTCGGGTACCACACTACGGTGCGCTCGCCCAAGCCAACTGGATACTGAGCGAATGAGGCGCGCGCGCTCTGACGCTTTGCGATCTGTCCCGTGCGTTCGGCTCATGCGCGGTGCCTCGCCCGCATTCACCGTGACGCGCTTTTCGAAAGTGAAACGCGACGCGCGCGGCACCGCGCTTATAAGAAATTTCCGGGCGTGATTTTCGTGCGTCGCGCGATAAGCGTATCGGGCGACGTCGCGCGTCCAGCTTGGGGGGGCGTCCGAAATGGACTGTAGTATATCTCCACCGCAATCATAGTCCTTACTCCAAAATCGCGGACCCTGCCGAGCAGACCCTTCCAGGACCGTCCTAGGAATTTATATAAAGTCTGTTCATAGGTATAAGAAAGTAACTAGAATTTAGGAAAGACCCGGGAAGCTGTAAGAATGAAATATGGCCGAACGGATCCGTACTTTGCTTAGAATTGGATTATTTGTGGTTTTATTAGGAAAGATACTAAACAATATTTATTTATTTATGTATATAATGACTCCAAAACGGTTACCTACAATACAAAATCTCATGTAGATAATTGAGTTTGCTGTTGGTTAATTTGTGGGGGTTCATAAAATCGGAATAGTGACAAGGTTGATATATGGTGCGTATGGAAAGAATATTGTTGTACGAAGAAATGATTTTTATTCAAAAACCATCAATAAGAGTTTCGATGGATGTGGACAACTTAGAAATGGATTCACGGATGTTCGTCTTCTCAGTTTAAGAAGAAACAAATTTAGTTCTGGGAGAATAGAATTAATTAAAAGTGAAGAAGAAAAAATATCTGCCTCTAGTTGGAAAAAATGTGTAGAACATGTATTCGAAAAGAAAAATGTTTACTGAAGTCGACTAGTACCAGAATTAATTATTAATGGGGGGGACATTGTTTTATAACTAAATTTACTCCTTCATTCATATTTATTATAAACATAAGGTAAGAATGGGTTTTTTACTTATAATAAAATAATGAAATGGCAAATTATTTTTATTACCTACTTAAATTACTTAAAATTATTCATATAACATATCAGCATCACTATCGCTATCATCGTCTGTCCTAATTATTATTTGTTCTATATTATTTGCAATATGGATATACAACTGTTCTGCTTTTTCTATATATTTAACAGAATTTGCCCGACTTTGTGGCGGGATGTTAAAAACTTCGGTTTCTATAAGTTTGAGGACATTGGAGTTAACACGGGGAAAAACATTGTTACGACGAATGGCAGATTTCAGTTGGTGCCAAACATGTTGTTCAATGGGATTAAATATACAGGTACATCTTTTTCAAGCCTCCTAATTAAGATATCTACGCTTTGTTCCTCGTAGAACTGGTAAATTTTACGCCGTATTATATTTTGATCACTTTCATCTACACTCGAGAAAATGTCAGCATCGCTTCTTTTTTTCCTCGCTGAAATGGGATTATTCATAATTTTCCATACAGTTGATGTTGGAATTTTTTTCGTGCATCTCTCTTCAAAATATAATTCATTTTCGTAAAGAGATTCTTTAATTTCTTCTTTATTTGGAGAAGTATTATCCAACACATTAACAGTATTTTCAGTTTATTTTCAAACCAACCCTCAAGTATTTCCGCGGTCATTTTGTCACGGTAAACCACACTTGAATGTTTGAAGTTTTTGACAAATAAAAATAAGGCATCTCCTACCCGACCATTGTTGGACCCCGCATGATGAATTATTATGCGTTTTCCATTTGAAGGCGGCACGTCTAGTACACACTTGTTACTGTTATCACACCATCGTTTTTTACTGTGTCGTGAGTGTCGAACCACGTTTAGTATAAATGCACTACTGGCCTATTTTGCTCTCAAAAATTTTCAAATACCAGCATTTTCTCTCACTTCCCTCTTGACTATCCCATTTGCAAGTATTTTTCGTACAGTTGACTTCGAAACTTTGGTCATGTCACTCGTTTTAATTACTGCTCCGACTTGCCCTTCTGAATTTTTATAAAATTGTAAACATTCAAAACAATTTGTTTGGAATCCGAAGCCAAACGGATCTGTTTTTTTATTTGCTGAGGTAGTTCGTCTTCTAAATTGTCATTCGGTTCGACTACCATCTCCACTTCGTCTTCAAATTCTGCGTTGTTTTCCATGTCTTCTTCTAACATAGGTACATCTGCTTCAGTCCACGCTCTCCACATTTTAAAGTGTTAAAAAAGTGGAACCTTCAAAAAATGTTTAATTGTAAGATTCTAATAAATATTTATCTAAATTCTTGTGTAAAAAAGACTGTTATTGTTTACAAATCGTAGAACTATGTAGAAGACACAAAAATACAAGAAGAAGAAGAATGTTGTTAATCCACAGGCACACAAAATGATTATTTCCAAACTTACCTATAAGATACCCTTATCTTACCCTTATCCTTTGAACGATCCAGTGAAAATAGCGTCGCAGGGTAAAAGCTCGAGAATCAGGTGCATAAATACGTACTTACTTAATATATACGAACATATTACAATTTATCTTATACTCTTAAGAACAATACATCACTTGATGTTAAAATAAACGTTTCTACTTATTCGAAAATACCCCGCAGCATCAATGATTAATCAAATTTAAAGCGGTCCATTTACGTTTCAAATAAAAATATTCGTTAGATGGACCATCTTAGGGAAGACCTACTTAATGCAGAATAAACATCTATTGGGATGGGTTTTACCACGGTCCCGCGAATAAGGTACCGTAAAATACTTAAAACGTCAAAGCAAAGCACTATAATTTTGGTCGTACTATACGGTCATTTGGTTGAAAAAATAGAGGTTTTTTGATCATAACTCATTTCCGACGCATTTTACAGGAAAAACGTATCTATACAAAATAAAAGCAGAGAAAATTTCCAAAATTTACGTCATAACCTTTTTTTTCCTAAAATGAATCAAAACACGTAAAGATTATAAACAAATTCCAAGAGATGCTCAAATTGTTCGTAATTCTGCAAACACAGTTCTAATCTTCTCTAATGATGTTCATTTTTAGCTCTTCGATAGAAAATTATATTTCTAAGTGAATCTGGAGATCTGGCTGGCCATCTCACTAGCGCATTATTCCCGATATATCTGTCGAAAAATAATCAGATACCTGAAGTGTATTGTGAGAAGCGACGCCATCTTGCTGAAAGCACATGTTGTTGTGTTGGATCAAAGGTAAATCATCCAAATAATCTTCAAGTGTTGACGTCGAAAACTGATAATACGATTTTCCATGATGGAAATATTCCACGTTCATCTGTACAAATCACATTTTCCAGGAAAGCTGGAAAATCTGGTCCATTTTGTGGCCAATTACAAAATTGTAATCAACTTTCGAGATCACCTGGATGTAATTTTTGGGAGATATGCATTTTAGCTGTTCAACACTGCAAAAATGCAACAGACCATAAGAAGAAATAAAGCTGAGGATGGTTTGAGAAAAACGAAACTTGGTAAGGGATTTTTGACCTGGCCGTAAGATGAAGCTTAAAAAGTTCCGATGAGAATGTTTTTACAGATTTTCGCTTCGTTTTAAAATAAAGACATAAAAAAATAAAAACGAAAATCGAAGGTTTCAGATTTTCTATGCCCCACTTTCCCGTAATTTAAGACACCCTGTATCTCCTACCGTTACCGAGATCCTAATGGTAAGAGACGAATTTGAAACACAGGTTTAAAAAAAATCAATTTAACCCACAAAACAAAAAGGCAACAGTTTTTTCTCCATGTTTCCATGGATTCTTTTTCTGACAACACCAGCAGTGAAGAAATCGATGTTACTTTCGAAAATTGATAAAAAATTTCTTTGTTGGACATTCTCCGTTCTCTGTTCCAGGGTTTTTCGACGATAACTTCCGAACAGTTTGAGGTACAAGCTTTAAATTTTGCTTCTTTTTAACCGTCCGCGGGATGCGTAAGATTTGTAAAAATGGATGCGTTCAATCTTCGGCATCTATCTTTTTTTTTCTTTCGATTTTCGACTATTTTTTGGACATTGCTATGAAACACGATAAGTATCTGAAATTTGAAGCAATCGACCTCACATTTGGCACATATATATAGCTTTGACGCGTGACGGAACCTATTGAAAAAAGGATGGGGGGGGACCGGAAGTATGTTAAAAAAATTAAAAATCCTGTGTGCAAATTAAAAAATTTCTTGAACAAAAAGACGCAGAATATTCGGCTCCATAAACCTTTATTCTTGACAATTTTTCTAAAATGTACAGGGTGCGCCGCAAAAATTCAAAAAAACTGAAAAATGGCTCCCCCTATTATTGAAAATTCGCTATAACTGAAAGAATCTGATTCAGATGTCACTTTCTTTTACATTGCGATATAGGTCGTATAGACAGCTCAGTCTTTTGTATTTAAGGTTTTTACTGATTGTACAGGGTGTTCGCGGTATTCCGTTCAATATTAAGACAGGTTATAGTGCCTCAAATTTGCAGCTAGTGACTTCAGATTTGGCAGAGAGGTAGAAGTCGGCCCACATTTATATCTTTTAAATTGGGAGCAATCCAATACTGCCAAGTATTTAAAAAAAAAAAAAGATTTTTTTTTACATTTTGTCTTCCAGAAAAAGACAAATTTCTCAAAAACTATTGAACCGATCGGCAACATTTTAGAACCAGAAAACACGGCTGATCCAGGGCTATGACTTTTTTTAAAGCTTTTTTTTCGATTATATACAGGGTTTTTCAGTTATGGACAAAAATAAAAAATACCGTGAAAATCGTACTTTTCGGGAATAAATTACTAACTGTAAATCAAAATTCGTAAAAAATATGGCCATCGGTTCAAACAGTATTATGGACCACATCAAGAGTAACAATTTTTGTATTCACGGTTTTCGTCCATCACACACACTGCTCGAGATATTTGAAAAAATCCATATTGTTTCAGAAAGAAATTATTTTTTGCTCAATTGGAAAAATTCTTGGACCAGAAATCGCGTGAGATTCAGAACTATAACCTCTATTAC